GGCTCTGTGAAGCGACTAAACCAGGGGAGAATTTCAGCGGGTGCCCACTTTGCGCTTTAGTTTCGTAAAACACCATTGCAAGAAATTGCAATCACATCTGGGACTCCAGTCCTGAAGTAGATCCGCGCATGGCTAGAACGGACCCCCCCCCCGTCCACCTCCCCTCACCAGCACTGTCCACTCCGAGCTATGGATCGCCGCCGATTTTGTTACAGATAATCATGTTTGCGCGCGATATTGAATTAAATCTGATCATCCACAAGAGCTCGGCTGGGAATTCAGTGGGGACGGTTCCGTTTGCTTTCCGTGCTCCCAGCCCCCGCCGTCCCTGCTGTTTGTCGAGCTTATAGCAAGAGGGACAGTTTCAGAAACGGGGCAGCATTCAACTCGGGAAGAGTGAAAAGAGCCTGGCTGGAAAGTAACCTCTCTCCCCACGACAGAGGGGCCAATGCATTTCGGGTCAACTCCGGGCATATTCGAGTAGGTTTGCGCCTAAAAAACGTGTGTGCGTGCATCTATTATATACAAGGGGGAGAGAGAACAGAGTGAGAGGCAAAAATTGTGTACCTATACACACACACGCGCCCATAACACACACACTCGCTTTCTAGCTGGATCTGTGCGTCTTTTAAATGCATATTCTAACCTGATCATTTAAAGAGCCAGAGGAAGTTTTGCTTTAAAACACGGTTTAGACAAACTTTCCTACACAATCCCACCGCATCTGGAGAGCTCCCCATACGCGGCGGCACCCCGCAAATTCCCCACGCGTGTCATCACACGCAGAAGGGGATCTCCAGGGAGCCAGTCGCGGGACGGAGATGACAAATTCCGTTTGGTTAAAACGGGTTTTAGGGCAAACTTTGCATTCCAAATCCGACCGCGTTCAGGGAGATCCCCGTGTGCCCCACGACTTGCCCCAAAGCGTTATCTGGCCGCAGGAGCAGAAAGAGGGTATGAACTCACCCCCCTGCCACCCATCAGCCGCCTACCAACCACTGCTGGCTAAAGGAGGACTTCGAACTCACGCCGCTTAGATCAACCCCCGAGCAAAGGCAAGCCATTGAGACGATCTGGACTCAAAAGCTTCTCCGCTGAAGGGGCACTCTAACATTTAAGTGAGTGGTGGGGCTTATTTTTTCATTTCCACAAAGTCACTCCAGCGCCTTTGTCTCTCAAGTAGACACAATGAGGCAGAACGCAGAAGAAGAAGAAAAAAGATCCCTGATTGTCTGCAGAAAGTTTGGGGAGGGTGATTAAAGTTTCCCTAAAAGTTCTAAGAGGGGAGAAACTCCGCTGAGCTGTTGGCTGGAAATCCGCAGCAGGCCAAGCACGGATTTCCGAGTAAAGAGTTCATCATTCCCCACAAACCAACTGGCACCCAGCGAAGATCTCATTGATCATATAATCAGGCTCGCCTTCCCCCTAAAGAATCAGTCCTATCTATGTCGCTTTAAAGTGAGGGGTCTGCGGTGATCCCGTGTTAGCCACAAAGTCAAACAAAAACGGTCTTTGGTTGTTGGGTTGGTTTTTTTTAAACACAGCATTTTTATTAAAATTCCTATCAAAAAATCGAAAACCTCCCCGCAGCGCGCGCCCCCCGGGTTTATACACAATGATTCGCTGGAGATTTCTATGGAGATGATCCAAACATTTCTTTTCCTTCTACATTTTGTTTGCTTGCTTAATATTTGGGAAAGATTTGCACCCAACCAAAAGACGAAAAGAAAATAAACCGCCCTGAATGTTACTTATGGCAACAATAACCACCGATATTTACAAAAAAATATATACCGCGAATAGTTGTCAGAATTTATACATGGCCATAAATAGGTAACGTTTCATATAAAAAAAGGGAAATCAAATTCTCTATTTTTAAAGTGTCCTCCACTTGTTTTATATACGACTGACAACAGCTCTACAGCACACAAAAGTACTTTACGCAATCACAAGAGCATACTGGTTTATTCTTATTACTAGTAGTATTTTTATTTTTAGTTGTAGGTAGACAGGACCACTGCATGGCGCAAAAATTTCTGTAAACATGGCGCACAAAAAACAACCCCTCCCCAAAAAGAGAAACAAATTGAACCCCAAAAAAGGAGGAAAAATAGGAGAGGGGGGAAAATGCATCATCATTAATAATAATAATTAATATTCATATCCCCCCCCCGAGGTTTGATATTGGAGCCTCAGTCTCTTTTCTCGGCAATGTTCACCAAGTCCATTGTTGGGCCTGCACCAAATGATGCGCTGTAGGGTACTGGGGGTTGCTGGCGGAGCTGTACTGGGCGTTATATTGCATATGCTGGAGCGACTGGGCGCTATAGGCGGAGAAGGGGATCCCAGCCTGGAAAGTAGCGGCGGCTAAGTCCTGAGCTTTGAGCGTGTGGCAGGGTTTGCCGTCCCTGACTAAGACGGGCACCGCTACCCGGCGTGGGGAGGGGAGAGGAGTCACTTCCATACCTTTCTCAGCCCGGGCCCTCTTCATCTTGTACCTGTGGTTCTGGAACCAGATCTTCACCTGGGTGGGCGTGAGGCGGATGAGGCTGGCCAGGTGCTCCCGCTCGGGGGCGGACAGGTACCGCTGTTGTCGGAACCGCCTCTCCAGCTCGTAGGTCTGCGCCTTGGAGAAGAGCACCCTCCTCTTCCTCTTCTTGCCGGAGTCGCCGGCGCTGGACGTCTCCTTGTCGTTGTCCGGGGATTCGTCGGCGGAGGGGTCGGGGGATTTGCTGGAGGAGTCCTGCTGGGAGTTGCCGGAGGCCAGCCCGTGCACTGCAGAAAGGCCATCAAGAGCATAAGTCAGAGGGGTGCTGCGGGGGGGGGGGATCCCCGCCTGGGGGCACCTGCGGCTCTGCTCTCTACCCTCCCCTGCTCCAGCCGGGAAATACAGCGAAATCCCCCCTATCCTGGGGAGGCAAATCTCCCAGGGGGGCACCAGCTACCCCCAAGCCTCGCTTGGGCTGAGGGACCATGGCTTTCCCCTAAAAAAAAATTAACCCCGCCAGGAATAGGCAGTTACCTCCTACAATCCACCATAGCAGCAAACACTGGAGGAAAAGTAAACTACTACACACGACACACCATTCCCATGTATGTTCTGGCCATCTGCGACACACGTGTGTATATGTACAGCTATCAACATATATGAATACAGGGAGATGGGTGTTTTATATTATATAGATTGTGAATATAAATATTTATATGTATCTATCTATATACATACACACTTTGAGATACATGGAGACATTCATGTGCATGTCTACAGATCTATTCATCCGTCGGTCTGTATACACTTTACAATAGAGCCACATCGATCCGGATCACATATTCCTCGCCTAATGTTGCATCTCTTTTACATCTATTGGACTTTGGACCTCAAGCGATTTGCTGGGAGGGGGGGGGTACGTGGATTGATTTTTAAAGGATAATTTAACAGTCCCTTCATTGATCACCACAGCCGCCCGGCCATTTAGACATTTCTGAACTGTCTACACCGAAGCGATCCAAGATTGCCACACAAGGGTCGCTCTGTTTGATTTAGCAAACTCGGTTCCTGCTATTTTTAGATCGCTGGAGGCTACTTTTTGCTTTTCTTTCCCTAGGCTGGGTTGACTTCTCTCTCTCTCTCATTCTAAAAACAAAACAAAACAAAAACCAAACACATAAAAATACCCCCCCCCCTTGGGGAAATAAGAGGCTTCCGAAACCTTATTTTGATCCCAATCGAATCAAAACCAAAGAAATCTCTCCCTGCGGCTAGTTTGACTCCGGAGAGCCTTGTAAAACCACCACCACAACCCAGAGTAAATCGGAGCGCGAATGCTTCCTGTAATAGCTCTTAGGAGGAGATAACAGATAGGAGGGTTTATTATTAATTATATTATTATTTAAGAATACACGTTAGAGGCTGCGGCGCTGAACGGATGAATCACAAGACAATGCAGACGGTACACGGAATCAGTGTACATTTCACTACTTACAGGAATACTGGATGCTTTCCGTGCTGGCCAGCCAACGCGTATAGGGATTATCACTGGTATCATAGAAAGGGTTTTTCAAAGGCAGAGTTTGAACCCCCTCCAGCGGGTTTTGCCCCAGAACGCCGGATTTCTTGGGTGGTTCCGACCCCTCGTTCTCTTCATCCGCTCCTTCAACGAGGGATCCCTCTTCATCATTGGTGTCAGGGAGGTCTAGGATGTCCTTTACAGAAAACCCCGTCTTTGTGTTGGTCAAAGACATATTCTGGCCAAATTTATGCAGGAAAGTTGAAGCACCAGTTTGTCAATCCGCTGTTGCACAAAACACACACACCCCACAAACCGCACACACCCCAGAAAGAGGGGAGGGTGTGTGTATGTTGGGGGGGGGGGTAAGAATAAAAAAAATCACGAAGGTTGATGTGGGGGGAGCGAGGAAAAATCAGCTGCGATATAGATAGATATTTTACAGCCTTGCTCTGCTGCGGAAGAAAAAAAAAATCACGGAGCACAAGTGGCAACTGGCTTCTGAAATAGTTTGTAACTCCAGGAAAAATGCCAAAGTGCGTTTTACTTCAGGGTCTCGTTTAAACACACGGATCGGCTGCCTGCTGCTTGGGGAAAACAAGCCATTGCTGGAGAGAGCAGTCCATATAAGGTTGGTCTCCACATATGAACCTGCAGAGAGGAGGGGAAAAAAATACATTAAAAACGCCAAAGGTTGGCCACGTGTGGGCGGGTGCTAGGAGTCAAGTGGATGAAGACAGTGTGTGCCGATGTGAAATTGCGGGGTTTGGGGGAGATTGGAGTCTCCACCATTGGTTCTGTAGCACATGATGAGTAGTATAACGTGTCAATTAATTACAAAGATAGGGAGGGCCTTTCTGCACGGTATTTACATACAAAGGAGCTGATATTCCACACACTCGAAAGTACGTTTTAAACAAATTGCTTCGGGGGAAAAAAAAAGGGGGGGGGGTTGCATTCATTGTCACTCTCCACTGAGGTAAACTGCTTTGCGGCAGGCTGGAAAATTGAGTATTTACAGCGAGCGACGTTAAAAGGAAATCTATTCAAATTATTGGTTGTTACCTAAACAAGATGGCAAGAGACCAACTTATGTAAACCTCCTAGGTCAATATTTTGGTTGAGGCTTAAGGCTGAGTACTATAAATTAAACAGCAAGTAATTGATTCTAGTTTGCTCCGAAATCAACCGAACTGGCAATAAATGTAATCAATCGGTACCCAGACAGGGGCGGGCGATTTCGGTGTGTTGTTTGCAGAGAACTAATTTATTTCTCTCTCTCTCTCTCTCTCTTCTCCCCACCAAGATCACTTGCTAATTTGGATGGATGTGCAGCGTTTAGACGTGGGGCTTAGAAAGGGAATGCAGCCAGATGTTTAATTTCGGTGTTGAATTTGGAGGGTTGTTTTTAATAAGTGGATCTCTCTCACAGCCATTTGCAGACACATATATTATAGAGGCAAATGAATAGCGGCGTCTGCGTTTTGAAAATCCGCCTTTAAAAATAGCAACGCTAAATAACACCCACCTATCCGTACGTCTATAATACTTTCTCACTGCGGCTTTATTTCATAGTTCACTCCTCCCCACGTCTTAAATGCCCGTGGGTGCCCCGATTCCACGGGGGGGGGGGGGATAGGAAACGGAGCTAAGAGAAGCCGTTTTAGCCAATTCTCCATGGGCGCATCCCCACCTCACCAGTCCACCCGGTTGTGCGCCACTTTTCCGCTCGCTTCGCTCCGCGCTAGCGCAGGACTTGGTTCAGTTGGGAGGGGTTAATGGTCCGGAGTCCTGTCTTGGGTCTGTGCTGAGAGTCCTAGTCTCCTTTTGACCTACTAAGTGAACTATCCCAGTGCGCCTCCCCCGACCCCCTCCCTGCAGCTCCCGGGGACAGACACCGCGCTCTATTGTTTCGTTCTTGTGATATTTGGGTGGGGTTTTCGTGTGTGCTACATTTTTGGACAAGCCAACTTGATGCCACGATCCCGGAGGAGTTGTGCCCTTTAAAGGGATCTCTGTGGGGGTTTTTTGGGGGTAGGAATAAAGATGGGGAGTTAAATGTGAGATTTGCATTCCCCCCCCCCCGGGATTTTCTCCCTCTTCCCCACCCTTTTGGGGATGAGCAGAGGATAGAAGTTGCCTTGACTTTCCCTCCCAAGAACTGGGCATGTTTCAAGGAGGTGCTGGGGGAGAAACCGCAGAGCAAGTTATTATTGTTGATCAGTTTGTTTTGCTGTCCCTCACCCTGCCTCCCCTCTAGTATGTGATGTGGGTGACAATGCCTTAGGGTTTTAGCAAGGCCCTGAGCGCATCATGGGTGGTCGGACCCGGGCAAACACAAATACAAACCGATTGCTAAGCTGCGGACAATGGGCGAAATGTAGACAAATGTCCGGCTTCTGTTGGAAGCTTTTGTCCGAGCTCAGTTTTTGCATTTATTTCAGGGGCGAAATAATACATGATTGACGCCCTCTTTCAATGGGTTCTAACTGTTTGGAATAAATCTGAGGTTGTTGCTAGTTGTCATGGCATTCAACTGCTTTCAATGGACTATCTCTTCATTCATTTCTGAATCCTTCCACAATATTAAGGAAACTCCTTCATGTTGATGCTCACTGACTCTTCTTTCCTTTGCAGTCGAGGCGTTTTTCCCCCTGTCTCTTTTTTAATGTTGAAAAAAAAAAGATTGAATCCAGGACTACCCCTGTATTTATTTCTTGGTCACTTTCCTTAGCCATCTAGGAAGCGCAGTAAAACAAACAAAGTGAGAGAATTGCGTGTGTGTGTGTGTGTGTGTGAAAATTGTGTCGTTCATAACACAAATAACAACAGCACTGTGGACCCAACAGCTACGATTCAATAAGAGAAGCCACCTCAGATAATAAGCCACCAGTCCAAGAATTCAAGCCACCACGACAGCGCAGGATTTGTATGGGTCTCCCTCTGGCAAAGAAAACAAAACCGAAGGTGGAAGATGAATTACCAGCACAATATTTGTAGTGTAGCAGAGCGCTGCAAAGTTTTCTTGTGGGGGGAAGAAGCTCCATGAATTGTAGAGAATTTCCTCTGGGGAAGACTAAACAATTGAAAGTGGGCAAGCGAACCACAGATTTCTAGTAAGGAAATCAGGAGTAAATAGGACCTATGAGATTTGATCAATATGAAACCAGCGAAACAACACACACACGCTCACTCTGTGATGAACTTGTCTCCGTTCCCGCAGACCACCTGATAGGTAAATATTTTCCTAAGGGAAAACCAGGGCTCCTGGACCATTAATCACCAGTTAGCCAAGCACACACCGACCGAACAGCACAGCTGGACTGTGACCAGCTAGTCTCCTTTGTACACAAAGACCTGCCATAAGTCATAATTTTGTCCCTCACCCCACCCCCTCCATATTGAACGCTTGGTCCCGCTTAGAAACAAGGCTCTGGACAAGTTCCCACAACTATGGTGGAATCACGTGAGTAAAAAAATCAAACCCAGTTTCCCGGTGGTTTAACAAGGTCAGTTTCATGATCTAAGGGGGCTGGAATGAGCTTGTGTTAATCCGCCTTCTCTTCCCGTCTCCCCCACGCTCTCTCTTCGGGGTGTACATTTTGCTGCCTTTAAGCTCACGTGTGACCGCGTCCAAACCTAACTGTGTGGCGCAGTCGTTTGCCACGACCAGCCCAACTTCAGAGAACCCCCCTTTTTTGAGACGGAGACCCCCAAATAGAAGCAAGCTCCCCCGAGAGTGAAGCCCCTTATTTCAGAGAACAAAACTGGCTTTAATGAGGGTCCAAAGGGGAATCGCTTGTTCCCCCTCGCCAGAAGAGCGCCTGGCCGACACAACAGGTGTGAGGTCCATAAGAGTAAGGTTTTCAGGCGGGCCTGCTGCAGATGACGTGACTAGGTGATGAAATAGACACACAGCACTATGGCGGATTCTATGTAAAGAGAACTATCGGCCAGATCAATCTAGGTGCTCCACGGAAGGTATATTTCCCAGCTCCGGTTTAATAACTGTGTGGACGCTTGATCCGCATTGCATCTGCTTCCAAACTTTCTCGGTTTGCTTTCGCTTCCCTTGTCCGATTTTTGTAAACAGCCCCCCCTGAATTTCTGACCCTTTGTTCCCTTTTAACGGGACCCTTCCTTTGCCCTCTTCCCCATTCTATTTTGTTCTGATCCTACTCCGATTCTACGCGAGAGGGCCAGGCAGTGTGAAAGGCCAGGGTGCAGAGGAAGGACATGATGGTGGGAAAGACGCAGGGAGACATGGGCGAGATAAGTCCCCCAACTTCCCCCAGTTCAGTGTTTCGCCTAAGCAGGAATTGTGTTTCTAAATAGCGGTTGGCTCAGTTCTGGGCTTTTTAATAATCAAATTTAGGACTGGCACTGGCGCCATAGAGGTATTTCAAGAAGATCACATCAATATCTAGACTCTCCAAGATCTCCCTGTCCGTGTCCTGTTGGCATTAGTAGCATGGGTAACTTGGGGAGGTCACTTACAATATTATCTCTGCTGATTAAGAGTAAATCGATCAGCAAATCCTAACCAAAATAAATAAAAAATCCCGGGACACACACACACACACACACACACACACACACACACACACACACACACACACACCACCCACCCACCCACCC